CTCGCCTGGGACAACTGTCTGTCACAAAAGCAAGTTTGGTGTAGAACAGCTCTTCACGTCGAGTTTACAAACATTCGCTCCCGAGCTCACCACCCCCTCTGTGACATCTTTAACTGCTCCATCACTGAGGGCAGTGCCTGACCTATGGAAGCGTGCTATCACAGTCCCAATTCCCAAAACAAATCCAGCTAATTCTCTCGTTGACCTTTGGCCCATATTAACACCCACTCCATGCAAAATACTCAAGAGAATAATTGCTATAGAACTGTGGAAAACATTAGGCCCAAAATTAGATCACCGCCAATTTGGAAATATCAAGGGTAACTGTCCACTACCTAGTTGACCTGATCAATTATATCATTTGGAATGTAGATAAGCGATTGGAGGTCACCATCGACATGAGGAAACCATTTGATCTCATCGATTACACCACCTTAATTTAGAAAATTATTTTTTTTTTTTTTCACGAGGGCTGGGCAAATAAAATATCCGATGAGATTGATCACTGCGGTGACCCTCAAGGAACGGTTCTTGGCCCATTATTGTTCCTGATAATGGTAAATGAGGATAATATTCCACACATGAAGATCTACAAAATTGTGGACGACCTGGCATTTGCACTCGCACACCAACCAGGGCAAGGAAACACCTTATTTCAAGACGCCCTCAAACAAGTGTCAGAGTGGGCTTCATCCAACAAAATGTCTGTCAACAAAAAGTGCACAAAAACTAAATTTAGATTTAAATTAGCCGACTGTGGTTGTACTCTGAAAATAGGCGAGGAACTTTTAACACGGGTCACAGAGGTGAATCTATTGCGAGTAGTTATCAGTGACGATCTAAAGAGGTTTTGCCAACAACCAAGAAACTGATTTCAAAGTGCGGAAGAAAGTTTTTATGATAACTAAATTAAAGTCCTTCGGTGCATCCCAAGAAGGCCTCCGCATATGGACGACTTTCCTTCGACCAATTTGTGAATATGCAACACCAGTCCATTGCCAACTTTGAAAAAATAAAATTGGGAAGACTTCAGAAAAGAGCATTACGTATAATTCTTGGGTCAAATCATACCTCACACATAGATACGCTAAAACAACTGCAGATTCCCTCCTTAGAAGACCGGAGAAAATCCTTAACAGAAAAATTCGCACACAACATCATTACATCCAAAAGGCATCGGCACCTGCTCCTGACGCGTCAGCCAAGCAGACAGCTTCGTGAGGATGTTAACAATAGTTATGTGAACCAAAGTGTCATACATCCAGATATTATATATCTACTACACCCTATTGTATTAGACACTTTAAATGATAACTTTGTAAATAAACAATTTTACTGTTGTAACTATAACTTTACTTAATAAACTCTTCATTATTATATATATATTATATATATATATATATATATATATATATATATATATAATATATATAATGCATGTGTGTGTGTGTGTGTGTGTGTGTGTGTGTGTGTGTGTGTTTGTGTGTGTGTGTGTGTGTTGTGTGTGTGTGTGTGTGTGTTTGTGTGTGTGTGTGTAACATGGCCGAATTTTAGTCAGAGTGCAGACAGTCGCGTCTGGCTGGAACAGGTGAACTTGGTGGTGGAGTGGAATCAACAGACGTCTTGGTAACTTAAAGCAGGTTTACTTGACGGGAGAGACACAGCCGGTGGACAGAGGTTCAGTCCGACCAGGTTGCTATGGCTGTCTGTCTGTCGTTCGCAGGCGACCCTCTTCTTTACAGGATCGAGAGTGGAATCTAATCGCATCCCATAATTAACGCGATGCGAGAGAGAGAAAAGAATGTTTGTGTAAACAGTTCGACATCACAAGGCGGAAGGCCAATGGAATGTCGCATCCGGTCATGTGTTGGGCGGAAGGCCTGATACATATGGACTATTATAATTGTATTGGGTAGATGTGTGAAAGGTATATAGTGCATTATATGTGCGGTAACAGTAGGAGAAATGGTGGCGCTTGAGTGTTTAGACACATGTGGAGGAGGGCGTGTTTATACGTATATAAAATATAAACCTTACAGCGTGTGTCTGTCTATCAATCCGTATATCTCTATTAAATCTCTCTATGTCTCTTCTCATATATATATATATATATATATAATTATATATATATATATATATTCGCATATGTGTTATATATATATACATATATATATATATATATATATAATAATATAATATATATCACATATATGCGTTTATATATGTGTGTGTGTGAGTGTGCGTGAGGTGTGTGTGTGTGTGTGTGTGTGTGTGTGGTGTGTGTGTGTGTGGTGTGTGTGTGTGTGTGTGGTGTGTTGTGGTTGTGTGTGTGTGTGTGCTCACCTCTCTCTCTCTGCTCCCCCCCCCTCTCTCTCTCTCTCTCTCTGTATATTATTATATATACACATACATACATACATGATATATATATATATATATACATACATACAATATATATATAATACATACATAATATATATATATAAAAGCGAGAGAGTTATGTAAATATATCGATGTTACGATATTGATTTTTCGATACAACTTGAGAAAAACCCTAGCGATACCAATAAACGAATGTTATTGAGAAGCTAAAATACCAATACAATAAACATATCATATCATCATCATCATCAGGGGGCTGACGCCGACGGGGGCGCATAGCCGCATCCACCCTTCGCTTCCACCTACGAGGATCCCTCATGGCTAGACGCCAGGCAGGGACTCGGCCCATCTCTAGTTCTTCACGGCAGGTTTGGTCGATCTGCCCAAGCCATGACTTCCTCGGTCGTCCCACAGGCCTCCTCCACCCAGGGTTGTCTCGAACAGAGACGACCTGATGGGCAGGATCATCCTGAGGAAAGCGAGCCAGGTGGCCGTATAGCCTGAGTTGGCGATCACGGATTGTGCAGATAACAGGGCTTGTGCCAGTCTCACGGTGCAACCGTTGGTTGGACACATGGTCCCGCCAACAGTACCCCATGATCTGGCGCAAGGACCTATTACAAAAGGCTTCAAGACGAGCCTCCAAGGCACAGGACAATGTCCAGGTTTCGCTACCGTATAGCAAAACTGGCATTATCAGGGCCTTGAAAACCCGTAGCTTGGTCCTTCTGCACAGGTACCGACATCTCCAAATACTCTTGTTGAGAGAGTTCATGACCCCTGCTGCCAGGCCAATCCGTCTGCTGACTTCATGGTCTGACAGCCCAGAGTTATGAACTACACTACCAAGGTATGTAAAGCTCTCTGTGACTTCAATGTCCTCGCCGCAAGCACGTACCGACTGAACAGGTTCTCCTAACAAGTCCCCAAATTCCTGGACCTTGGTCTTGGTCCAGGAGACCTCTAGACCCAGGGGCTTCGCTTCATTGCTAAATGCATCGAGAGCCGCCACTAGGGTTTCCAAAGACTCAGATAGAATGGCAACGTCATCAGCAAAGTCAAGGTCTGTAACCTTGATATTGCCCAGCGTTGCCCCACAATGACTTTGAACAGTAGCTCTGCCCAGTATCCAGTCCATGCAAGTGTTGAAAAGAGTTGGTGCAAGGACACAGCCTTGCCTCACTCCTGAACTAACAGGAAAGAAGCTCGACAGGCCCCCACCACACTTTACAGCACTTTCAGTACCAGTATACAGGCTTGCTATTAGTCCAATAATCCTTGTTGGTATTCCTCTCAGCCTCAGGATCTCCCAAAGTGACTCCCGATGCACCGTATCGAACGCCTTCTTGAGGTCGATGTAGGCTGCAAGCAGCCCACGCCCGAACTCACGACGGCGCTCTACAATGACTCGAAGCGCGAGGATACGGTCTATTGTGGACTTACCAGGAGTGAATCCGGATTGCTCCAGTCTCTGGTGCCTCAGTAGATGGTCTCTGATACGTCTCAGAAGGATGTGGGCGAGAACCTTGCCTGGTACACTGAGCAGTGTGATGCCTCGGTGATTGCTGCAGTCCCAACGGTCCCCCTTCCCCTTCCAGAGAGGGATGACCACACCCCTCAACAGGTCAGGAGGAACGGAACCGGACTGCCAGATGGCAGCCAGGACAGCATGTAACCCCCGTGCCATAGGTTCACCACCAGCCTTTAACAGTTCAGCTGGTATGCCGCAGATACCAGCTGCTTTACCACTCTTCAGCTTGGAAATCGCCCCCTAACTTCAGTTAGGGAGGGAGGGTCCTCACTGATAGGTGGATCCGGCAGCGGGATCTCGACACTACCCGCATCCAAGTTAACTGTTGGTGGTCAACCTGGTACAGCTGCTCAAAATACTCAGCCCAACGTCCCCACCGCAACAGGATCTGAAACGATCTGACCACTTACTGAGCGAACTGCTGTCACCTGTGAAGAGGGCTTGGAGTTCAGCTTTCTCAGGGCTTGGTATGCAGGACGAAGGTCATTTACTAAGAAATGGCCTTCTACCTCCTCTGCAAGACTCCTAATAAACTGTTCCTTGTCCCTTCTTAACAGGGACCGAGTTCTGCGCACATGAAACGGTGCAATTCCCGATCCCCTGTCAGACGAGCCGCACGACATGCATCTGTGGCTTCCAGTGTCTCCTGCGAGATGGAATTCTGTACTGCTCTCGGGCGTACACCAATCGTATCTTGAGCTGCATCAAGCGTTTCACACTTAAAGGTATCCCACAGAAGAACAGGGTCTGTCAGACTGCCAAGCATTGCGAAACGATCAGAGATTGCCTCAGCAAACCCGCGGGAACACTCCCCCTCCCTCAGCCTGTCCAAATGAAACACCCTAGGGTGATCATTTGACCTCTGATATTATTGCTGATACATGTATCGCGAATTGCCCATCTCTGTAGATATAAATATGTGTGTGTGTGTGTGTGTTTATGCATGTATATATGCCTGTATGTATGTATTTATTTATGTGTGTGTATATGAGTGTGTGCCGGTGTTTATGAAATCGGGCAGAATAGGTACTTTTAGTAATCATTGTTTACAAATAGTCAGCTGTTCGCCGTCAGACCGCTGTTGAAGGTTTGTTTTGGTGTGAGCAAATTTGTTGAAGAACATATTCAAGTAATTGCTCATAGTGTTTAATTTGTAGCTGTAATATGTTAGAAATAAGATAAATGATTTTTTTCTCTGAAACTTTTATCTTTTGATGTGTAGAATTAGGAAAAAAGTACAATATTGTAGGAATTTGTTTATATGGCTTCTTGAACAAAAAGTAAAACTAACTGAAACAGCAGTTTTACACCATTAAAGATTGGGTCACCTTTTGTTATATTATTTGAAATGGAGTGAGAATTGAAAGTTTTTCTGCCATATATGATAATTGGGTAATTATCTATGTTGCCTTCGCCTCTCTGATATCGCCGATTTTGGTATCGTTGGATTCCTCTCACTGCAAATATATAGTTTTTATTGCGCGGAAACCCCACGTTAGCAATAAACTTGGCCCCGATAGCAAGGAAGGGCATGGAAGGTTCCAGGGAAAATGCGGGGTTAAATAACACTAATGATATAACCAACTGTGAAAATAACCATGGTTATTCACATGACTTAACATTGCAGGGGTCTGTACCCCCTGCGACCCCCCCTGGGGGGGGCTGCTGCCCCCAACCCCTGCCGAGGAAACAAAACCTCCCGGCAGGCTAGAGCGTTACAAAATTATCGTCGATCTCGGAGCGGCAGACGTATTACAGTTACCTCGTAGCTTTCCCACTGAATCAGCATACTAACCTTGACATAGTCAGCATTGTATACAGAGACGATTGTAGTATAATCACGTGGTTAGGAATTAAAAAATCGTGGTTCCAGAGGATGGGAAACTTGACCTTGAGGCCATTGGTGTAACATCGAGAGAGCCGCAAAACCCGCCGACGAGGGCGCTCTTCTGTTCGTGGTATACCCTGTTCATCCTGATTATACTTCAATGAGTGCTGACTATGTCAAGGTTAGTATGCTGATTCAGTGGGAATGTTATGAGGTAATTGTAATACGTTTGCTGCTCTGAGAGCGACGATAATTGTGTAACGCTCTAGCCTGTCAGGAATACATGGTAGGGGTTTTGTTTCCTTGGCGGGGTTTGGGGGGCGGCACAGCCCCCTGCAATGGAAAGTCATGTGAATAACCATGGTTATTTTCACTGTAGGTTATATTATTAATGTTATTTAACCCTGCATTTTCCCTGAAACCTTTCATACCCTGCCCTGCTATTGGGGCCAAGTTTGTCGCTAATGGGGGGTTTCTACGCAATAAAAACTGTATATTTCCCTACCAGGGAAATATGGCAATTGATTCAATTGTCCAATTTCTCTACATTTAGAAATACAAAATGAGTTTACTTTAAAGTTGAGGGTACAGTGTTTAGGAAGTCACCAACCGCTTACAAAATTCTACAACTGGAACACAATTATTGTATTTCACTGAATTTAGTGTTATCCCTGATATTGTAATGATTTCAGTGAGAGATTGAATTCACCGCAAAGTTGGAAAAAAATCAGAAACAAAAGTAGCACTGTAAACAACCTTCATCTTGGAACAAACAATGACAACTGTGACAACAGAACTGTCAAATTTGCTGGGAGAGGTCAGCAATGCACAAATATGAATGTACCATGTATTTCTAATGAAACCGTGGTACGTACATGGTAAAATTGATCACATTGTGTATTTTGGGGAATGAACATTTGATAAGTGCGTATTTCATTAAAATTTCATATAAATTAGAATACAGAGATACATTTTACTACAGTGGATATATAAGAAATTTGCCATGATGTGACAAACTACATGCCTACTGATTGTTATTTGATCCATTATATTGAATTTGTTACATACCTGTGGCCATTTTTATCCATGACATTTTGGTAAATAGCACAGTTAATCTTTCCTGTATGAATACTCAAAGGTAGAGCAAATTGAAGAGGATATTCTTGTAGATGACAAAAAGTTGTAGTTGTCGGTGCAAGGAATAATATGGAGACAGCTGGTATCACCACAAAGGAAGGAAAAATTCAAGAAAAGCATCACTCACAGTCTCAAGACTACTCAGTGCTCCTGAGCTTCAGCTCCATCTTGCTGTTTATATGAGATGAAGAAAGTGTTTCATTACCCTTTGAGCACTGTGTGTACAACCAGTCATAACAATTATTTTTGGACTATTCTTATGACATAGGGGAAGTTCCGGTTATGTGGATTCTGGTAATTTTGCACTTAGGCGATTGCACTGGTATTGCTTCTGTGTATTGTGTTGTGGATTTTGTTTATGTTGCCAGAATAGCCAGTGTTAAGAATCTAATATGAAATGATTTGTTGATATTATTGTATTTATTTTCAAATAGTGATGATGCCTAATTTGATTGTTTGGGCATTGTATCAGTTTCATTTCAAGATATAGTACAAGGTACTGTTTGCTTGCACTAAATTCATGTGAAACGTTAAAAACCATTGAGTCAACTAGAGTGGTATTCGAGAAAGGTCTATAACTATTCTTTGCGATTTTGTCTATGATTTGCTCCATGCCACATCTCAAATTTAATGCTGCTAATAAGAACAGATACTCATATCATTATATATCCTATTTTGATAATCTGTTGTAATAACAAGACAAGGTAATTATTGCAGTTAATCTTGCTCATATTATAACAGTAATTTTACAAATTCATAATGTCTGAATATGATGTGGCATCCCCCAGATTGGAAAGTTTGTTATATGGCTACGTACCTAATTTCCCAGCCATGGCTGCAGCTGCACCATGTAAACAAGATGGTATTTCTCAGCTGCGTATTCAAGATAGTGATCTGCTGCGAATGCACAGCTTCAAATCAAGAAATTAAAATCAAAATCATCAGTTTTATTGATGACTTGAAATTACAAAGAAGTATGAAATTTGCCTATACCCACCTGTGCAATTTTTTATAACAGTAAATTATACCAACTCCCTTGTGCAATTTGCTAACTTCCCAATCTAGGGCATTCCTAATTTTATTCAATATATCAGTTGTTAAGAGTGGTAATGGTATTTATATTTTTGAATAAAATACAGCATTAAGTGTGTAGGAGATGGCTCAGTTAACTTTTGATGATTTATCTAAAGAAGCCTCAAAGTTTTCTTGTTATTTTCAAAGTAGAGTAATCTTCAACAGAGGAAAAATTATAGAAAATGCACATGTGTTACCGGAACTTTCCCCCATATCGTAAGAGGTCCATAGATAATTGTTACGACTGGTTGTAAGAATAGCCACAGTCTTGAATAAATTTTGTGATATAGAGTTGGGGCCTTAGTCTCTGGCAAGTGTGTTTATACTGTAAAGAATTACCAATAGCAGATAAAGAAAATATTTGATAATTTAGATTATACTGTGTATGTTGTACTGTATTTCAGCACAACGTACAGCACATGTTTAGATATTAGACCTCACATTTCATCTGAGATAATCATGCCAAAATCTGTTGGAAGTCATTTGGGTGCCATATACCTGTAGGGAAATATTATCTCTTTGAATTGTTGAGCAATTTATTTTGAGACCAGGAACAAATCCAATCTCTGTGTTGCCCGAATGTATGAGATGAACGTTCCAAAGACATGAAGGCAATGGTATATGTTGGCACTACCATCAGATCTATTATTTATACTATTGAATAATTTTTATATGCAATTTCCCACAAAAGTGTCATAGATGAAAAACAGATTGTAGTTAGTTCAAATAGATAACTATTTTCATTGTGATGTATGGTAAAGAAATTGACCATATTATGTTTTGTATACTGTACATATTGTTATTATTACCATTACCATTACCATTATCTTTGTCATTATCTTCATTATTGTTATTGTTATCGTTATCGTTATCTTTATCTTTATCTTTATCTTTATCATTATCATTATCATTATCATTATCATTTTTGTGTGTGCAAAATGTAATTTGTACAGATCTTTCCAGTCTGCATTTATATGCATTTTAAATTTTTTCCAAGATTTCTGATATGCACAGGGTAATATGTATCAGAGAATATTGGATGAAATAACAATCAGTAACTATGAAGACATACTCACAATTAGGCCTTAAGAAATTAAGAGCTATTAAGAAAAGTATTGAGTAAAAACATATATTTTATGATATGATTTACATGAATAATACCAAAGATCTCTAACAACTGCACATTGTTGTTACAAAGACAACTTAAGTGTTTGCATGCTGTGATAAGGATATCAACACTTGTCAACCACTGCATACCCATGTATGCATATGCTTATCCTTTGATTTTGAGTAGAGGAGGTACCAGAGAGGAAGTTGCATTGATGCATTCACTACTGTTTCCAATCTTGGAGGTCCCTTTTGGTGAGCCACCATGTGAGGGTACAGTCCATCTCGGCTTTATTATGACTGACTTGGTCAGTACGCCCAAGCCATGACTTTTTTGTCATGGCATGAGCCTCTTTCCAGGATTTACCCTCCCAAAACCTAGCTCGTTGTCGTCATGAGGGCTTAGGAGATGAGGACTGAGACCCAATGTAGGGGATCACCCCAACCTTGGGCCTCAGCTCATACCTCAACTAGTTTTACTTGGTCCTTTCTTCTCTTCTTTCCTCTTATTCTTTATTTATTTCCTTCTTCCATCCCAATCCTGGGAATGGTATTCCTTTGGTTAGTTGCCTAGCCCTTACCCCTTATGGGGACCCAGAGGGGTAGACCTTTACTTTTCCCCAGATTATTCAGGCTCACCATGGCCAATAATGATTCTTTACCCTTAATAGGGTAAATGCTTACGAACAATTCTAACCATTCCAATTTGAAATTCAGATTTATTCAGAGCTATCCATGTTAACTTGACAGTTTCGATAGGTTTTGAGTAAATCTCTTTGTTGACTTCTTGGTCTGACTGCCCAGGGTCATGAGCTGTGCTACCAAGATGTGTAAAGTGATTTCAGTCCCTTTGTTGGAAGCATGTATCAGCTGAGCAGGTTCTGACAGCACTTTCAGTAGGGATTGTGTATTTAGTAATTTCAGATGGCTTGGAAGGGAAG